GCAGGAACTGGTTAGAATTTACAAACTAGAGTATTTGCAGGTAAAGTCTTATTTTATGAAAGCATAAAGTCACATGAATTACTGTTAAAACAGTTTCTCTGTGGTCTTATCTTGAAAATATGGCTCTGGAAATCCTTGTATTAAAACCTGGAAGTTAGATATTTAGTCTCTCATGTCACACTTGGGTGAACTTTATCAATTTGCTGAGTGTTTTTAAAATCTTGGTTTCTGTTTCATTTCTCAGTTCTCAGTAATCTTAACTATCACTAAAACGAACACTTTGAAAATTACAAAAAGTATAAACGAGAAGCAACTTTTCAAAACTGACTTTTCAAAAGCAACAAAAGTCAGAAGACAGTAGAATATCTTCAATGTGCTGAAAAAGTAACTGCCAACTAATTACCTATCATTACCCATTAAAATACCTTACAAGAATGCAGGTGAAATGAAGAACGTCAGATACAAAAATTGAACCACCTCCTATAGACCAACATAGGCCTAACAGGAGGACAGAAGGATAAACTCTAGATAGAAAGAAAATAAGAGCATAAGACAAAAGAGGGAACTAAGAACAAAGAATGTAATAAATACGTGAATAAACATAAGTGAATTTTGCTTGTGTAAAAGCAATAATAACAGAATACACTGGGATTAAAAAATAAAGAAGTATTTAAAATACCAGACAACATTAACATATAAATAAAGAAGGGAGAAAATGGTGTTTTTGCTATTTGCGTTTGCTGAGAGCCTTAGTCTCACCTGAAAAGAGGGCAAAGTGTTTATGAGATTTAGACTTAGATAAATTAAGTATGTTTTAATGCATAAAGTAGCATCAAAAATAAGAAACTAGATCTAATAGACATATTTAGTCTACTATACTCAGCAACAACAGAATACACATTTCTGTAGCAAATACTAACAAAAAATAAGCACATGATGGAGAAATAATACGATTCCAGGTTAATACCAAAGGTTGAAGGCATACAGTTTATGTTCTATGCAATAAAACCTTATGCAATTATAAAAAATAATTTCAAAAAACCCTCTGTGGTTATATATTAAGAAGTATACTTCAGAGAAGCAAAATCATAATAGAAATCTAATGTTTTGAAATAAAAGATCAAAAACTTGTGGAGAGAAAGTAAAGCAATACTTTTAAGGCAAGCCATAGCCACGAAAAGGAGGTACAGTCTTGTGCCACATAACAGCATTTTGGTCAACAACGGTCCACATATACCACGGTGGTCTCATAAGATTACAATGGAGCTGAAATATTCCAGTCACCTAGTGATGTCATAACTGTAGTAATGTTATGATGCAATGAACTAATTATACAGGAGCAACAGGGCTGTACTATATAGGCTAGGTGTGTTGAAGGCTGTACCATCTAGGTCTGTGTAAGTATACTCCGTGATGTTTGCACAATGACAAAATCGCCTGACACATTTCTCAGAATATATCCGCATCATTAAGCTATGCATGACTGTATTTTTTTTAAGAATGTCTTTAGGGGCCGGCCCGGTGGCGCTCCCGCTGGAGGGATCGGATCCCACATGCAGACCGGTTCCCGCTCACTGGCTGAGCGAGGCGCGGGAGCAACACCGAGGGTTGCGATCCCGTTGCCGGTCCCCGGTCCGGTACGGGGGCAACACTGAGGGTTGCAATCCGTTGCCGGACACGGAAAAAAAAAAAAAAAAAAAAAAAAAAAAAAAAAGAATGTCTTTACTTTCTAGTACCACAAAATGTTCCAGGATTATCTTGTATATATCCAGTTATTAAGTGACACATGAATGTGCTATAAAACATGAAAATTTAGAAAATAATGGTCCAAAGGCTGACCCCATGGCTCACTCCGGAGAGTGCGGTGCTGGGAGCGCCGAGGCTGCGGGTTCTGATCCTGTATAGGGATGGCCGGTGCGCTCACCGGCTGAGCGCGGTGCGGGCGACACCAAGCCAAGGGTTACTATCCCCTTACCAGTCACAAAAAAAGAAAAAAGAAAAGAAAATAATGGTCCAGGCGTTAATCTCAGAGAGTTGGGAAAAGAACAAAAAATAAACCCAAAGAAAGTGGAATAAAGAAAACAATATACAAAAACACCAAGCCAAGGGTTACTATCCCCTTACCAGTCACAAAAAAAGAAAAAAGAAAAGAAAATAATGGTCCAGGCGTTAATCTCAGGGAGTTGGGAAAAGAACAAAAAATAAACCCAAAGAAAGTGGAATAAAGAAAACAATATACAAAGATAAGAGCAGAAATTAGTAAACAAACAAACAAAAAAAAAATCATGCACGTATTAGAAAGGATCAAAATAGCCAACAATTGGTTCTTTGAAAATGTTAATAAAATTCACAAATCAGTTTTTTCCCACTTCTGGTTATGGCAAAGTAATTTATATCAGAATATCTCTTTAAGTAAAAAACACTTTAAAAGCTGATTAGTGTTTTAAAACATACCCAGCAATTTGAATACAGATGAAAGAAACCATAGCAGCTAGAACTTGAAGTGCAAGGATCATGTAAAGAATTGTATGCACTGAAGTAAACCCAAAATTTGAAAGCAAACAAACAAACAAAAAAACAAAAAAACAGCAAAAGAAACAAGCAAATTAGAACCACCTCAAAGACTCTATGAAGAAATTAACATTAATTTATTAAATTGACACATATTTGAGAACACATTATGTTCTCAAATGGCTAGAAGAGAAGCACCCAAATGTTCTCATCACAAAGAAATGATACATTTTTGCAATGATGAATATGCAAACTACCCTGATTTGATTATGACACATTGTTCACATGCATTGAAATATAACTCTGCACTCCATAAATATGTGCAATCAAGGTATTTCAATTAAAAAATAAATTAATTCCTTTAAATAAAAAAGAAGGTGAAAAGCAAGGCACAGAAAAAAATTTGCTGGTGCATAAGGACCCACATTCAGAATATATTAAGTACTCCTGAAAAACCAACAATAAAAAGGCAAAAAATTTAAAACTAGTAAGGCTTGAACAAGAACTTCACAAAGAAAGATAAACAAATGGCTAGGGAGCATGTAAAAATGTGCTCAACATTATTATTCATCAGATAAATGCAAATCAAAATCACAATAAGACACCACTGTATGCACACTAGAATAATTTTAATTAAAAGGACTGGAATGTGAAACAACCGGAACGCATATATTTTTGGTGGGAGTGTAAAACGATTCCACCACCTTGGAAGACGATGTGGCAGATTTTAGCAAAGTTAGGCATATACCTATTTTATGTCTCACAATATATACAAGAATGTTCATGACAGCTCTATTCATCATAGTCAAAACTGGAAGCAATTCAAATGTCTTCAACAGCAGAGTGGCTAAACAGAGATTATTCAAATAATAGAATACTGATCTCAGCAATAAAACAGCAACCTATTCATGGAACAATATGGATAAATTTCAGTACATTATACTGAACAAATAAGTTCAGATGCAAAAATGAACAGACAAATTTAATAAATTATGTTAGAAATCAGAAGAGTGGTTGCCTCCAGATGGAGTGGGAGGATTAACTAAGAAGAGACACAAGAGAACTTACTGGGGTGATGGAAATGTGCTGTATCTTGACCTAGAAAGCAAAAAAATAAAATAAAATATACTTCTTTACATATAAACTTTGGTATGGCAAAAAAAAAAAAAAAAAAACAGGAAAAAATTTTATTTTTAAATTTATTTTATTTTTAAAGCAGATAACAGTGAAATTTAAATATCTTAATACACAGAAGGCATATAACTAACAAGAAATAGTCAAAAACACAGTAAAATTAAATAAGGAATAGACAAAGCATATAAGGAGGGAAATTACAAAAACAGCAACTCTAATGGCTAAACGTCCTTACAGAGCAAGGCTCAAATTCACTAGTTGTCAGGGAAATGACAATTAAATTCACAATAGACTAATATTTACATTCATCAGACTGGCAAATATTAAACGCTATTCCACGACTGTCAGGGACATGGTGAAGAGGATGCAATAGAAATGCGAAATGTTACTACCATTTTGGAAAGCAAGGAGATGAAATTCCTTTTAACCCGTGTATCTATATCTACAGCAATCAAACCACCTATATATAAGCATATGTGAATGAGAATGCTATTGCAACATTGCTCAGAAGTGTAGAACAAACAAACAAAAACCACAGAGGGAAAAAAAAAGGAGGGGGAAATAAATTAGTTCCTGTCACCAAAGAATAAACAAATTATGGCAAACGACACCATAAAATATAATGTGGCCGTTAAAAACCAGGTGGCTCTAAAATAAATAATTATTCAACCTATAGTTAAAACATGGTAGACAAATACAGCTGTAGAACATTCAGAATGTTAACCACATTAGCTATTGCAACTTGAATATAAAATACAGCTCTCAGAAGATTACAAACCTTAACTGGCACAGTGCTATACATACAAGGTGTGTATCATTATTTGTACTCTTAGTTAATGAAATACAAAACATCTTAAAGGTCTTTCGCAGTGATAAAAAGAACACAAGATATTATCTTAGTCAATGCTTCTTTTTATGTCTTTTTCTGCAGGCTCCTCTTTTTCTGGGCCTCTTAATTTCTTTTCTCCCTTTTTTTCTTTCCTTTTCTATTTTTGCTTATATCTTTTCCCTTTTTTTTTTTATCTTCTTTTTCCTTCATCCTTAAACAGACCACTTTTTTGATATGTATTTCTTTATATGTTATATATTTATGCAATGGGGTATTTCCTATCCATGAATACATTTTAGAAAATGTATTATTTTGTACGACTTTCTCTAAGAAAATCATATACTATGCTATGCCAAAACATATGTATATTCGCATGATCCTGCACTAATCAGATTTCTAAACATGAGATACACTTTAGAGATGTGGGTAGCTTTGATTACCTGGGCATTGCTAGCTTACTGTAATCAGAAAAATCATTACCATGTTAATACCATGAATCTTCATTTTTTTCCTTCTTCTGTTACAGGGAATTTTGATTATGTTGACGGTCTTCAGCGTTATTGAATTACTCATTTCTCTGTCTTTCTCAGTCTTTGGATCCCACTCAGATGACTGTAATTGTGAGGAATGGGGCGAATAGCACTATGAGAATAAAGATGTGTTATAATACTATTTAGAGGTGAATTATGCTTGTGAGGAAAAGCCAAAAAGAACATAAAATCTTAAGGCTGGAAATTCTTTGCAGAAAAGGGGAGTGACTCAAGAAACAAGGATCTAAGGACATTTTGGTTTTGTTTGTTTTTTAAATTTTTATTTTTATTTTATTTTTTATTTTATATTACACATACATGTGAGGTACAACGTTGATTTTTCAATAATTGTGTAGAATGTGTGGTGGTTCGATCAGTATAGTTAGCTTATTCATCATTACAATATGCAGTCATTCTTTGTGTCCTTTAGCCAATTCCCCTGAGGACATTTTGTCTGATAATAAATTTTGCCTCCTGGCAATGCCATCTTCCCCTCTTCCCCAAATCAAATGGTCATTTAATGTCATTACCTCCGTTAGTCATGCATTCTTTAAATGAAAGAACAGCAATGTGGTGTTGCCTCTGTGCAAACAGAGATATAAATCGAAGTCCAGAGTCTGGGGTGACCAATCATCTAACTTAACTGGTTCATGACATCTGCTGATGAGTTCTAAGAGACTCCACCCAGTGGCTTCTACTCCACTGACGTGTGAAAACATGAGCTGGCTGGAAGAAGAGTTTCACTCACAGATTTTACATTGATGCTGCAAGATCGTCCATGTTAACAGCTGGTCAACTATAATAGAAACAATAGTAAAAATAACGAGAATAAATATTGGTGGATCCACTACTGTGTTCTAAACATTATGCTAAGTGTTACACGTGTGTTACTCATTTAATCTCCCAAAAACTCTAAGAGGCAAATTTTATTATTATACCCATTTTACAGACAAGCTGAAGCACAGAGAGGATAGGAATTTGCCCAAGGTCACAAAACTTGCAATGGCAGAGCCATAATATCAATAAGCAACCTGGATTCAGAGACTAATAATGTCTTAATCTCTATACCAACATCTCCTAAGCCTTTTAGTCTTAGAATCCCTTCACATCATTAAAAATTATTGAGGTCTCATTACACATTAATAAAAAGGATATTTTTACTAAAATAATTATATTTTCCAAAATAAAATAATTAGTGTGGAGAATGGCATTGATTTATATTTTTGCAAATCTCTTTAATGCAGTGGTTCCCAAACTCTACTGTGCATTCAAATCATCTGAGGAATATTTACAAACCCCAATGCACCACATACCAATTAAATCCAAATGTGGTAAGAGCCAGGCATCAGTAGTTTCTAAAGATTTCCACATGATTCCAGTGCAGAGCAGTTTGGAAGCCACTACTTTACTCTCGCATAATGGAAAACAACCGTGATTCTCTCAATGGCTTTTGCATTCCATCTGTTATGATATCTTATATTCTGTAGCCTGTAGAGTACACCACTGTAAACGTGTGAAAAAGTTAAATAAGGTTTTGGTGTTATTATGAAAATAGTTTTGAGCTCATATACCTCCTAAAAGGGTCTTGAGGACCACAGGGGACACCTAGATCACATTTTGAGAACCACCTGCCTTATACCCATGTAATATTACCTTCCACTGACTGAATATCTGCTAAGTATTAGAGATCTTACCTGTGTTATCTCACTTGTCATGACAGCCCTCTAAGGTAGGTATGCTTTTTGTCACAGACATAAAACCAAAGCTCGAAGTGGTTAACTTTTCTGAGACCACGGAGGAAGTATGATTTAGAACCAGGATTTGAATTAAGATCTCTAACTCCAAAACCTTTTTTTCCTGTGATACTTTGGCATAGAAAAAACTTACCATACTCAAGGAAATAAATTAACAGGCTTTCATCTCTGCTGTAAGCTGGAAGGACCTTATGTCCATAGCTACATGTGCGAGGGTAGGGACAGGAAGATGGCAGGGGAAAAACTTAATTATTTTTAATTTTCCAGTGCAGTAAGATTTCTGATGAAAAATATTTGGCAACTGAGTGATGTTCAGATGTGTGATGTTTGAGATACATGTATATTTAAGGGCAAGAAACCCTTACACGTACTTGCATGGACTTTTAAGTCAGATCTAGGTTTAAATGTCATTTTGTCACTTAAAGCTGTGTGAACTGAACAAATTATCTAAACTTTGTGGGCTTTAAATTCCTAGACTGAAATGCAATAATAATACCTACCTAATGGGTTTGCCATAAACCTTAAATGAAATACATGAAGTGATTGTATCAGTCTTGGATCTTAAAACTCAATTAGTAACTAATAGAAGTTCTTAAAAATTAATAATTGAGATTTTCTTGCTTTCTAAATATCACTTACTAGTTGTGTAGTATGGACCAGTTTCCCTCATTTCTTAACTTTAGTTTATGCAATTAGAAAACAAAATCAAGGGCCGGCCCGGTGGCGCACTGCTACAGTGCGCCACTTGAGAGCGCGGCGGCACTCCCGCCAAAGGTTCAGATCCCACATACAGACCGGTTCCCGCTCACTGGCTGAGCGAGGTGCGGGTGCAA